AAGCAAATCATCAATTATTATGTTATTGATTTTATTTTTTTGTTTAAAATTGTATATTAAGTATATGTAAATAATTAAATATAATTTAACAAATATGAGCATCGAATTGCTTTTTTGGAAAAATCCACGCTATCGAGTTCCGCTAAAACATATCATGTCAAGTCAGATAGTATGAGTAATAATAGTAGTAGAAAAAATGCATCCTTATAAGATGAATTAATTCCAGCAGAAAATTTCATCATCACTCAGATCTATAAATGAGTATCGAGTATTATTAATTGCGAGAGTTGAGAATGTTGAGCTGAGTCACACCAGACCGAACAATTAATTCCGCTTAAAAACTTATGCAAATTATGAAAAACCGTTTTGTGATCTCAGTCAGTCCCTTTAACTTGTTCCGTTGTTGTAGAACATTTCACATTTTTACAATATGTTACCCTGATTGTTTTAAATGCCTTTTTCATGTGTTAATCGTCATGCATGTTTGCTCCAAGAGTAAATTATTCTAACGTTAATTTCCAATTAATCGATAGTGGCTGTTTCTTTCGTGGTAGAATGCACCTGCTCTAATATTGTGTTCACAGCAAGTACATAGTTTCCTTTCAGATTTTTTGCTCGAAAATTAAGTAGAGACTATATTTACCCAAATTTCGAAATTCAGAGAAAGAGCCAAGATTCCGAAATTATGTCGACAAACTTCCTGTTTACGTTAGTGGAAAACGAAACACGTTTGCATTAGATCTGCGCGATAATATTTTTCGTAAATATCATTATTATTTCTGAAAAGTTGCCAAAAATGCACCGATTGATCTGAAAAGTAAAAGGTGTCACATTAGGACAGTGGTTAGAACTTTTGTCATACATTTCTTGAGTTCATTAATCTCTGTATATATATAAAAATGAATGTATGTCTGTTTGTCTGTTCATAAAAACTCCAAATTTAACCATGATCGCACCGAGCTACAAGGCTGAAATTGTGTATGTTTCTTCGTTTATTGGAGAGTAACTTCCTGCCAAAATTTCAACTTCCTAACTCTTAGTTTTTGAGTTAAAGTGTATTTTTACGGTGTTTCTGCACTGTCTCGCTGTAAGCTCGCTCATAGAGGGCACTGAGTTGTATATTTTTTCTTAATAAGATCTCTCTTAAATAAATTTTATTTATTCAATCATGCCCCCCCTGGAATGGGAAAACTAACAGCCCAACCCCCCCCAAACAATAAACCCCTAATAACCCCTTCCCTCCCAACCCTTTGCCTCTTTCCCCCATCCTCCGTTAAAACGCAGAGGTACAAGGGCAAGAGGGTGCGCCTGCAAAAATCACGAACGCGATAAAAAAAACACCCGGAAAATACCATAAGCCAAAAGGCACCCAAAAGGAGCAAAAGTTCGAAAGAACTGACTCTTGCAAAAAATCAACAACAACTTTATTTATTAATTATTTCCTCTCGGCTGAGATCGATCAGAAATGTTGTAGAAAAATTGCGCACGTAACTACAGGTCAACGTGGGCAACGCCACGGGTCGCTCCGCTAGTTATTCATAAACGTTTATGGAAATAACATGCAAAGCAATTATACAATTATATAGCACATATACTTCTTCAAATTTTCACTCAAACGTTTAGTTGGGTATAGTGTAGACATTTTTACAATATTAAAGTAAAATGTAGAACGTAAGGTCTAAGGTGAGAGAAAAAACTGTCGTCGACGAAAAACCGTCTTCACGCGTAAAAGTTAATTTGTAAATGCGTACATTTCAGCCTAAGTAAGGTAAACGTAAAACGTAAAAAAAAGTAAGTTGAACTTGTCATGTGAGGCGTATGAACTTGTAACTACTACGTAGTCCCGATAATAGTTATAAAACAAGTTGAATTTGCTGTATTGACATAAAATACTTGATTAGTTTAAGTTATAGGAATGAATTATTAAAAAAATATATTTTTGAACATCTCCTCTTTTTTAAATATTTATCTGGTAACATTTTTTATTAGAATTTCTATTGCATACGTCTTATATGCAGGAAACATGATCAAAGTAACGTATTAACGTTGCATTGCTCAATTGAAACCGGTATCTGTTAGAAAAACATGGACCAAAGCAAAGCAATGAAAATCTCGCCAACCCTTACCTAAAGACCTTATCGCAATAAAAGAAATAAAAGGAGCATGCAACTAGTTCCCAAAACGATAAAGCCGATAACATCCAACACAAGTGCAATAAAATTCCCGAAGGGTTCAGTTTCAGCTTGATTGTAAAGTTTGCCCTGTCCTTTTGTTGGCTTTTTCCCTTACTTTAGAACTAAAAGTTTAAAACTATCATGATAAATATTTTTCAAGCATGACAATCAGTTGACTTTAAATGTATTTTTATCACACATTTCAAACGAAAATGGTGAATTTAAGTAAAAGTCCAAGGATTTAAATACTAATTAAGTTCAGTTGTGGACAGAATATGAACTTTGCGAAGGGTTTAACGATTCAGAAACGATTGAAGCGTTCGATTAAAGATGTAAACTGGGCGTCATCGTAGTGGTGATAAGTCGATTTTCGGTTTGAAAATAATAATAATAATAAAAATATTGCTTTATTTCAAATCATGGGCAAGCACAATATGAAAGGTCGCCAAAAGGGGCACACAGTTTCACACATCGGGACAAAACTCTCTTAAACTATAGGGTTCCAAACCTATTACGTATTAAGGATTCTTTTCTGAATGACAAAAATACGCTGGATCATACAGTCTTTCCCCCAAAATATAATACCATATTTAAGGACAGGTTCAAAATTCGCAAAGTATAATATCCTAAGTGAGTTTTCGTTCATGTACTTACTAACAACCCTAATGCCATAACAAATGGAATTTAGTTTTTTACTTAAATTATTTATATGGACAGACCAACCAAGATGTTCATTTATGTAAAGCCTAAAAATTTGGCATTTTCCATTATATTTACTTCTTACCAAGCTCCATGTGTAACGGCGCTATTACTTTAGACTGTTTTGTTAGAAACAGCAGTACATTCGTTTTATCTTTATTTAGAATAAGTTTATTTGATATGAACTAGTCTGTAACTAAATTAAAGAATTCCGCCGCCTTTAAAGTTAGGTCTTGCAGATTTTTACATTTAATGATTAAATTTGTGTCGTCGGCGTAGTTTACCATATCCTGCCTAGAAGTATTCATTAAAAGGTGTAGATAATTTACAAACAGTATATAAAGAATCGGACCCAATATACTTCCTTGGGCTATTCCTATGCGACTTGAGAACATCTTCGATCTCCCGTCATTCCCTTTTTTTTAGTAACCATTACAACCTGCTTTCTATCCTCTAAATATGATGTAAGCCAGAGTTTTACATTTACTTTTATACCATATTTATTCGCTTTTTCTAAGAGCAGTTCCTTATCCAGACAATCATAGGCTTTAGACAAATCCAGGAGGAATCCTAGTGCTACTTCTCCACTTTCCAAATAGCTCTTAAGCTGAACGAATGGCATCCATTTGGTGCAAGATATTAACTGGGGTGATTTTGACCGAAACTTTGAATTCTGTAAACACTGAAATTAACCGACTTATTACTTTTCTCATCCGAGAAGCAACATTTTGTTTAAATGGTTCTGGTATAATCTGGCTTAAAGCAGACAACATACATATACCAAATGGCCCCATTTAGTTACAAGTGCTGCCTGGAAACGTAATAGCGGATATTGTTAGAATCTATCCAAATCCGGAGCATTTTCTCCTTCCGATCTATGGTTTCAGCAAATTATGTAATTATCACTTTTTCAAACAAATATATTGTAGAGCAGAATCTGATGATTTCTCGACATACTTTCCCTTGACTTCTTGTTGTGGAGCTAAGAAATTAATCAATGCAATCAAGTGTTAGTAAGAGTTGCTAATAAACTAGAAAATCGGCTTGTTTATTGTCAGCAAGTCAATGGTGCTCAATTTGACCACTTTAAATTTATTTTGAGTTTATTAAATTTCCTTTTTTTCCCACTGTACTTGCAACTACATATTATAATGTAAATATTCACATTGGATAAGCCATCTTTGAGCGCTGTAAATTCTTCGTCTTCTTCTTTTTCAGCCATTCTTCATTCACTCCTGGATATAGGCCTTTCCTAATTCCCTCCACTGATTTCTATTCTAATTTACACCTGCCATCTTTCTTATATCATCCAACCATTGCAAAGGCGGTCTGCCCATACGTCACTTCGTCTCAGCTGTAAATTGCTGAACACTAATAAATAAAACTTTCCCAGACACACAAGAAAACCTCATTTAATTGAACTGAGGATTATTTGAAAAATTATATTTAGGACCAATTAAGCAGGTTCATACTTCTGAATCTTTGAAAACCTTCAATAAGTATATTATAATGCTAAGGCGCAAATTTCATACGCACAGTTTGAGGCTATTTTAGGCCTTGAGCTTATTTTAATACTATTAAGTTTTTAATTATATGATGATAAGAGTACTGTATAGTAAGTGGGACGAATTTTTGTAGTACTGCGGCATTTGAAAAATTTCCAGTGAGTGAAATAGTAGCATGAATAATACGGTTGTAATCCACGTGCTGATAAGAATTCAATAATATTGGAAAAATAGTAAAGTATTTAGCCTTGGTGATGCTCAAGTGCCGTTTCATGTGCTGCGTAAGTCAGAGTACAACAGTTATCACGGTGATACTGCTGCGCAATCCCATGATTCATAATAAACGCAATTTAATGATGTTATCTATATTGTATAATAAGATAAACAATTTAAGACGTATTTGGTTGAGAAACTGGGATAAAAATAATAAGATTTGAGCAATTAAGATATTGACGGCTCCGCTTTAAGAAAGCATGGTCAATGTTGCTAATAAATTGCACAGTTTCTTGTTTTATTTCTACAATCAAACTTACTTCTCCCACTTCACAAATTTCACTACGCATTTAACGATTCAAGTATTTTGAAATAATTATTTTTTTTGAATAAAAATCTTTTGTTACAGATGATACGTCCAGCAAAGCTAAAAACGCAGAATCCAGCGTACCTGGTCGATCCAGTAAGAAAGAGCAAACCGGACCGGTGAAGTCAAGAAAAAAACTTGCGGATCGAGAACCAAGAAGGCCTTCTGAGAAAAGTAATCCTAAATAAATCTCAGAAAATCTCTTCAATGACCTATCGAAATGACCTTTTGCACTTGTAATTTTCGTACCTGAAATGGTTTGACTGTATACAAACTCAAATGTTTGCTCAATGCTCAAACAATAGATAGCTTTCACGTTGTATGAATGGATGTAGCAAACCGATTCGAAATATGTTGTATTGTAATGTACGTATTTTTTTCTAGGATTTAATCATCCTTGGATGTTAGTTACATTGAAAGGGCACACCGGCAGAGTTCTAGACATGGACTTCTCCGCAAATGAAAAGTATCTGGCATCCTCAGCCGATGGTATGTAACTTTTTAGACGAATTATTCAATTAACAATTAAAATCAATTGTTTGGCACAAAATGACTCGAGAATCTAATGTATATGGCAATTCTTTTTCGTTCTTAGAATATACGTTACATGGACAATATTCGTCTAATTTTGGAGCCGGAGAAATTCGGATTGCTGAGAGCGATTTGATATGACAGTGTGTGTTTTTGCATATAATTACTGCTTCAGATAAAAAATCTACTGTGAGGCAATTGAAACAATGCAAAATTGGTGAAAGTTTCACATGATCTCAGTTGGACAAAAAACCTTTTTTCTTATTTCCACACCACAAAATTGATATCATATTTCTAAAACCAATTTGTCTACCATCTCGTTTTTCGAAAAAAAATATTACGGGTTGCATTATTGAACAAAATATTTGAAAGTAAACTTCACCTAGTTCAAAATCTTCCAGAATCACACATTTCGGGGGCAATTTTGATTTGGGTGATTTTTTATGCAATGCTGTATATTGACTTTTCATCTTAAATTGTCTATGAAGTTTAATCTTTAACATGAGCTCCATATCGTGAAAATCGGATCCATAAGAGAAAATTAGAAAATAATTGCAGAATTAGCAAAGAATTATCTTTGCATGAGCAGAAAGGAGATTTTTTGAGACCACCCTGTAAATGTAAGAGATAATCGAAACATTCAAAAACTGTTTTGATAAACCAAACAGTGGTTTACCTTTTAACTTTTAGTGTTGAGATCCAAAAAACACTTTTTTGGACTTATGTCCCATTAGGAAAACCCGAACTTTCCGCAATTTTGCTAACACACAGACGGTGCTAGATAACTCTTCAAAGAGAAACCAAATCGCTCGAAGTAATCAGAATTTATTCAGTCCCAAAGTTAGGGCAAACTTGGCGTCAGAATGACTATGTATATTTTAAAGAAGTTTGAACACTTAAGCTGTTGGTGAAGATCTTGCGGTCATTAAAATTACCATCCGCATGTATATAGACATGACATTTTTCTTTGGACAGGAACAATTTTCTTTTTAAACATTATCGTGCGAGCAAATATTTTTTCCTATGAAATCAAGATTTTCCGTACGGTTTCTCCGTTTTCCGCACGGTTAAAAAAAACATGGTAATTGATCTAATTCGCATTTATTTTATTGGCTGAAATTATGCAATTGATTTACATCTAATTATTGTGATATCAGGCCTGTAACGAATAAAACAATTGAAAAATTATAATTAGCAAAACGTGCAAAGTTTTTCTTTATAGAGCATCTCATCTAGTATTCTTTGTATACTTATGTTCTTTTTGAAACATTCCTCAGCACTTTTTAACTGTTTATTATATAATAGTATTGCATTTTTTATATATGAATTGATTTTTTTACACATGTATTATTGCTTATCCAATTTTTCTTGCCAATCCTAATGATCCAATGCTTATCCAATTATAAGGCACTTCTTATAAATATTTAATGCGGGTATCCAGAAAACATGTTAGTCCTATTTTTTAAATGTTTTTACTTAGCGGAAATTTGCGCGTTTTGACAAATCGTTGGATGATTTGTGGCGAGAAATAGCTGAAAAGATCAGAGGAGTTTTCATTTCTGAATAGCTCTATCTTTGACATGGTAACCAATTCACCAAATGAAAAATATAACCCTCTATCAATAAATAGAAAATTTAACTGTTGTAATTGCCACTTCTTGGTCAACATTTGGGGTAATCTTATTTTGTGATAACAATTATTTATTAAAAATTGAATGCTCAAATTATCAAAGCCCTTCATCAAACACTATCTCTCTAATATGTTCTTAATGTGTTTCTAGTATATTTTCCTTAATTGACTCTAAATCATGTGTCCCATGCATCCGTTTATACGATGGTACGATGAACGAAAGTGTTTCTATTGGTTGGAGAACTGTCAGTTCGTACGACTGGAATGCATGACGTAGGCGGATGAATGCATGGGACACCCTCTATTGGTACCACTTATAAATATTAACATTAAGGGCTCGCTTTCTGATTGGTCGGATGTGATACCCTGCATGGTAGAAAACCCTGGACCTGTGAACTTTTGGTTCAGATTCGGTTGTGCTCCTCAAGAGTAAACTTCGCTTCTTTGGTAGTGTTGTTTAGTGTATTCACAAATCTCTTTTGTTCGCAGAAGAACCTGATAAAGGTGAAAAACTGTGCTTCAAACGTAATAAGCGAAAATTATTGCAAAGAAGACAAAAAAAAACTATTTTATGTTCGAGTTCCTCAAATAGTTCGTTAGATTTGTGCGCTTCACCTTCGAACCCTTCGAGCCCCACGAGAACAACAGGTTTAACACGCAGACAGAGAAAAAACCAATTAAAAAAAAATCGCGTCGGAAAATTAGTGCAAAATAATAAAAATAAAATGGAAATGCCGTGGGACCATTACAATTTTCTTGGAGCAGAAGCTCATAACTATTATGAAGAGATTCCATATCAGAATCAAAATTCTCTGCTTACGGGTATGCAGGAAGATGAATTGGCAGAGATACTGAAGGAACAATACGTGATGTCAGAAGGAGACATGGCGATATATGGTAAGTAAATGATATAATATAACATGTAAATAAGTTCCGTATATGAGTCTGGTATATACTTACAATTTCTTATGTTTCGGTGTTTTGCCTCACGGTTTTGGGTTGTTTGAAAACGGAAATTTCCTCAAATTCTCCACTATAAATTAATAACTGGTGCTTTGTTATAATAAAGCATCAGTAAATTAGTTGCTTATTTTGTCCCAATTAGCCAATCAAAGTAATTTAAGAATTATTTCTGATCTTTTCTATCGCGATTCTGCTATCGTTTTAATAAATTTGCAAGGGTAATAATTCATTTTAGGTAAGTTGCCGAAGATTTGTTTAACTTTGAAAATTTCAATGGGCTATGTCTTTCATCGATTAAAGCTAGATGATTTCATTAAAACACTCTGTAGTTTAACGTTTTTCTGTTGATGGATCTTTTGCTAAAATTGTCTTCGTTGATTTTTTGGCTGAAAAAGACATCCCATTGAGCTCGGTATTCAGAAAAATATGTCTGATATTATTTATCTGTTTTAAATGTATGAATAATACATATATTTGTTCTTTAATTTAATGGTCTTGATGTTTTCTCAATGTGAAATCTATTTCGTTATTTATTAACTTTAAAACCGTTTGTAATGAATATTGGATAGTATGAGGTAAAATTTAAAAGACGAGTGAGAATGAGTCGGATTTCTATACGCAACAGTTTAAAAATTGTTCGAATATTTCTAATGTATGTTTCTCTTGTGATTCTCTGGGTCAAATTAAAAACAAACGTCTAAATGAGTGTAGATCCGGAAATTATTGCTTTTCAATATACAGGCTGTTGAAATTTATGGAAAACATTTTTCCTACATAATTTAATAACTTTCTGTTATCTTTTCAATATTTTTCGTATTTCGCTTAGTTTCCGATATGAAAAATAAAAACCCGGTTGTTTCATGTCCCTAGGACACTATAATAAATAATGAAAGCACCCGTACTATTTAGCAGATAAAATTACAGTCATTTACCTATTGATTTTTAAAACTTTTTGATGAAACAAATAAATGTAAAAATATTGCATAATTCTTCTTTTGTCACTGGCCTTGTTTACTTATTTATTATCATATTATTATCGATACATAATACAATTGGAAACTATGGAAATTCAAAAAATGGAACTGAAAAAAAAACTGAAACTGGATTATATATTAAAAAAGAACCAAATATTTAGCTATAGAACCTTTTAACAGTAAATAAAGCGAAACTTATAATATTTGCTGGAAATTCCCTCCTTCAATTCATCAATTGCCAAATTAATTCAAATATTGTCGCGCATAAATTTAGTGTTACTTTTTTTTTTTCAGCATTTTTGTTTTATGATCGTATAAGATGTTTAGGGACATACAATAAATATTTTTTTCTTATAATACTCTCGATAGTTCATGAAACCATTTCCAATTCTAACTGAGTATAAGTATTCTACTTAATTTCGCACCAAATGGAAAATTTTTACTTTTAATTTTATGAAAAAGTTGATCTTAATGAATGGTTCTGCTTGGTTCAAAACCTAAAATGCAACCATCAGATATTTTTTTTCAATCGTATACGAGGTATATCAGAAAATATGACTTGCTCAATAATTTATTTTTGACAATACCGCAAAGTTTATTACAGTTGAAAAGGAGGATGTTATTTTGAACATTATTTTTAAGTTGGTTTCATATGGGAAACTTTTTAATTATACATTTTCCGAAAAAAGTTACCCTTTCTAAAAAGTTTTGCATGTTCTAGACTCTAAAATACATTCATGAGATCAATTTTTTTCAGTCGTATAAAAGGTTTGTTAGAAAATATGAATTTTGCCCAACAGTAAAGTAAACTTATTTTTGAAAATGTCGATAACTTTAATAAGTCATTTTATTTGTTAAACATTTACATGTACAACACCTTTTCGTCTCGTAACCTCTGTGTTGCATTATTTTGATTTATTATCAGTGCACCCTAGATTTCACGTAAATACAGTAAAAAGAAAAACATATTTCTTCAATATAAATGAATTTAATTGCATATTTAAACGTACTTTTCAACCTAATCAACTTTCCGTAATAACAATTTTCGATTTTGTCAAAGATGAACGTAGTTTATTCTTGAGAAAAATTCTCGGTAATTCTTTACACTACAGTCTGGTACTATGATTGCGCTTGCACTTATAGAAAACCTTATAGAAAATATCGTAACAAACAACAATTTTCCTATACATTTCTCGACCGAATGCCGTTTTCCATCACTTTTCACCCTCTGAAATTCACCAATTTCCAAAACAAAACAACGGTTGCCATGATGGTTCAGCTATTACTACTTCTTTAGCCTTTTCATATAAACAAATCATTTATTATAACTATTTTGATTTTTTATAACTAACAGATGATATCTTTTTACTACTTTTTCCATTCTCATCATAATTTAATTCCAACGGAATAAAATATTTCATGCGTGCATAGACATCCACAAAGAAACCAAAACTGGAAATACTTTATTTCATTTTATTTGCATATACAATTAATTCATTATTTCAATCCGCGGGAGCAGTCAGCTGGGCCCCGGCTAAATTTCACGCACAATCACATGTATGAGTGCTTATCATAGAGTAGTAAAATAAAGATTAGTCACGTTGTCTACTATTTCCTGTATGGAAGTATTTCTGGTAAGTTTTCAACCTTGAACGAATTACTTTTTGTTTTTATTGACATTTTCTACTTTGGTGGCAGTTTGGCAACGTGGCTGACCAGTATGCAATTTTCGGTTGCGCATACCGACAATGTGCGTGCATGCGGACAAGTGCGCATGCGACAGAACAGCGTGTTGTAAAAGATTACCTAAACCTTTTCTTTAAATAAATCATTAAACATTTCATTTATAATAATTTTTTAAGCTTTAGATTTTCCCCCGTTTTCTGGGAATTTCGCCAAAAGTAACCTCAGTTATCCAATTAATTAATACTAATATACATTCCTTAGCACTTTTACTTATTCATTAGATTATCTATACTTGTGATTACGAACTACTTTCTTAAGATTTACAATTTTAATATTTGCGAGAATTAATATTTGAACTTAATTCAAAAGAAATTCCTGGTTTCCAGTCAATTTGATTGTTTATCATTTAAAATGTTACAAATACGTTTCGGTGTTTTTCTCCACCATCATCAGTTTGTCTAAAATATACATTTAGAGTCGTCATTAGTTTAAAACAAGAGCTCTGTTAAAATATACATACTGAAATACAAATTACAAACATATTAAAAAGTAGGTATATTAAAATCGTTTGAATCTCATGGGATTACAGGTGATGAGTCAGGACAATCATGTTCGGGAAAAGACTAGAATTTATTGTTTAGAGATTTAAATTTTATTTACATGTATGGCTGTTTCTACCTTCACATTTGGCAAGCCATTGAAAAATCTTTACTTCGTCCAATATCGAGCGAAATAATAAAAAAATGTTTATAATATTTGGTATTTTGTGCCAAAACAATAAAATTGACTGGAACCCAGGAATTTCTTTTGAATTGTTGAAATACAGTCAGGAAAATATACACAATTAATATTTGAGTCAATCGTATACGAGGTATATCAGAAAATAGGACTTTTGCTCAAGAATTTGTTTTTCACAATATTGAAAATTGTATTAAGAAAAGTTGATTAAAGCTGAAAAGTACGATGAACATAAAGTTTAGGTATTTTGAACATTATTTTTAAGTTGGTTTCATATGGGAAGCCTTTTTATTATCAATTTTTCGAAAAAATGTACTTATAGAAAGTTCTGCATATTTTAGGATTTAAAATACATTCATCAAATAATTTTTTTTCAGTCGTTTTAAAGGTTTGTCAGAACATATGAATTTTGCCCAACAGTAAAATAAATATATTTTTGAAAATTTCGATAACTTTAATTTTGAGTCATTATTTATTTGTTAAACATTTACATGTATAACACCTTTTCATCTCGTAACCTCTATGCTGCATTATTTTGATTTATTATCAGTGCATCCTATATTTAACGTAAATACACTAAAAAGGAAAACATATTTTTTCAATATAATTGAATTTAATTGTATATTTGAACGTACTTTTCAACTCTAGTCAACTTTCCATAATAGCTATTTTCGATTTTGTTAGAAATGAAAGTAGTAGTATTTCTGAGAAAAATTCACATTTTCTGAAGAACAAATGAAGAAAATGAAAACAAAATATGTGATGGTTGCATTTAGTTTTTGGACCTTTTTGTAAATAACCAATTAGGCCAATTTTTTTTTAAATTTTTCTTTAAATAAATCATTCAACATTTTATTTATAATTTTTTTTTTAGATTTAGATTCCCGTTTTCTGGGATTTTTGCCAAAATTAATCTCAGCTAACCAATTAATTATTATTAGTATACATTCCTTAGCACTTTTACTTATTCATTAAGTTATATATACTTTTGTTTACGAATTACTTTCTTAATATTTACAATTTTAATATTTTAGAGAATTATCGGATTTTAGGCTAATATTTAAGATACTCACATCATTATTTACAATACATTCATTCCCTTGTATTATTCTTTACTAAGAATTTAAATTAAAAAATCTGTAAACGTTTAAAGTTTAAATTATACTTTAAAAACACTTTTAAATTTGCAATTTTATGGTATAATTATACAGGGTGTTCCGTATATATGTTAAAATATTTTAGCAGCGAGTTCTTCTAGTCATTTTAGAGGCGGGTTTTCCTGAGAATTTTTCAATTTGAGGTTTCATTGTAGAGATATTTGCCTTCCAAAATGGCGAAAAATATTAGTTTTTGTTGTGTTTCTTTCAAACGGTTAAATATATAAACCTCAATTTTGGTACACATTATAATCTAATTGAGTGCCATTCTTTGGTACTGTTTTGTGGTTCAGTTTACTTTTATACAGGGTAAAAATGTGGAACCCCTACTTTTATTTTGTTCAGCACTTTTTTGTGTGCATATAGACTTATCCGTAAATTTTTTTTCAATACTACAAATTATTTTTATATCTTATTGTTTTTTCCTAAGACCACTAGTTTGCCCGCAAAAAAATAAAAAATAGAATCATTTTCTTTGCGTTCTCAAAATGTGTAAGTAATTAAGTTAGCTTTTAATATCTAATAACGTTTTCATATGCCAATTTTGCTACGCATTATTAGTTAATTACTAACAACCTAAATTATTTTTCGAAAATGTGTATTTCGGTTCAAATTACAGTTATTAAGTTTTAATAAATTTAACTAAACTTACTTAACTTGAAAACCGTCAGCAGCCGCTGTAAAATTTTTGACAATGAAAACTAAACGATATTTAACTGTCATAGACACAGCCTCCTTTGTTTATTGCACTTTTTGTATTCAAACGTTAATAAATAAAAATCCCTTAGTTACGTACCTACACATTTTGAGAACGGCAAATAAAACTATTTTATTTTTGGTGGCCAAACTAGTGGTCTTAGGCAAAAATAATAAGAGATAAAAAAGTAGGTAAATCATTTGTAGTAACTTAAAAAATTACGCTGATAAAAGTTTAAGTGCATACCAAAAAGTTCTGATCAAAACAATAGTAGGGGTTCCATATTTCTACCCTTTATAAAAGTAAACAGAACCACAAAACACTACTATAGAAAGACACTTAATTAGATTATCATGTATACCAAAATTGAAGTTTACACTTTTAACCGTTTTAAAGAAACACACAAAAACTAATATTTTCCGTCATTTTAAAAATCAAATATCTCAACAATGAAACCTCAACTTCCAAAAATTCTCAGGAAAACCCCCTTCTAAAATGGACTTGAAAAACACGCTGTTAAAATATTTTAACATATTTACGGAACACCCTGTATAACGACGAAAGGGATATTACCCATAAACAAACTTACAATTTAGGACTTTAATCAGCTATTTTGTTGAATAAATGACGGTAAATCAACAAATCATAAAGATATTGGTACTTTATACTTTATGTTTTGGAGGTTTATCAATAGCATGTCTTTGAAGAAAGGAAACTTTCAAACACCATTTTCAAAGTAATTATATTTGTAAGTTAATTAACTACGAAAATTGCAAGTGCTAAAACCATTACAAAATTTTACGATTTTTTTGGAAAAAGTTTTACGGCACGCTATACGGCACGGACGTTTGCGGCTAGCCCGTTTGTTTTTTGCAAAGTATTATTTGATGATTCACACAGACGCCTATCGGGTGCACATTTTAAAACTATTTTTGTAATGTACAGAGTGTCCCAAAAGCCCTATAAACATTCTAGTACCATTCGATAAGAAATTACAAATTTCATTTACTGGTAAG